GATTTTTGAAATTGTTTTGCAGATCTTGCACTGCCCACAGATCTTGTCGGCGAGGGGCCAACGCGCACTTCGGACTCGGCGTGCCAGACAGATGAATTTACCAGCCCTCTCGCCAAGGTTAAACTGCTGAAGTGCCAACTTCGGGCAACGAAACAACAGCTGACCTTGTGTCAGACGAACTTGGACAAGATGAGAGTGCAAGCGAGCAAGCACAAAAAACTTGAAGAAAGCCTTCAAAAAATGTCCACCTGCACGAAGTTGATTTTTGATCAGTGCGTGATGAAGGCGAATGCCAAGTCTGCGAAAGCTGCCAGGTAAGTTTAGAAAACAGGCCAGCGCGTGTAGGATGTTTGGGAGCAGTGTTGGTGTATTTCGGTGTCAAATTTGGTTTTTTAGATTACCCCACCATGCTTCTTCGCTGAAAATACACTTTATAGTTAACATTCTTCGGGCATGTTGAGAATATTGATTCAACAGGCCATATGCGTGTCACCACATCGATTTTGTTTCAGCACCCCTCATTTTTTATTACTCCAGCAGTTTTAAATAAAAGTTGTGTTTGCTTTCCACAGCATTCCTTTTATCCTTAACGTGCCAACAGTCTCACTTTGCAGTGTCTGTTGCTTATTGAGGATGAATACAATTACAGAAGGATGAAGTTTTATACATTTTCGTATTGCCCATACTACAAGGTTGGAGAATGCGCTGCATATGTTTGCAAAGTGTCAAATGCTATGGTTGCATAACATACGATATGCCAGAGAAACGCCAGATCGCATGTATTCATCCTGAACATGGTTCCTCTGTGCCTACTGTTCATTGGGCTTTCAGCACATGCAGCTCGAAAGCAGCATACAGCATGTCATGGAATGGGGTATTCTTGAAGCACCTACGCATGAACCTGGTATAATGTGCTTGTATCCTTTTAGCAGTTTCGCTACTGTAAATGCATGTGAAATCCATTATAAAACAACTTTACTATTTAATGCATGTGTTTCAGTATGATGAGCCCCCTCTCCTATTTTTGGTGTCTGGTGCACACACATTATGCATGCATATAAAGCATCTTGTCTGTGTCATGTACATGCATGTAATTCCAAATGCACTGCACGAATGTTTTTTATCCTGAAGGCCCATTATGTAGCATGTCTCGAAATGTGAGAACAGTTCCCTAGTTTTCTCTTTAGGTACAGGAAAGAATGGCTTCATGACTGTCTCCTTCTGAAGGTTAAGTCGACGTCTGTGTACACGTTCCTTCATGAGAACGAATTTCTGCCTCTCCCTAACCCCCGCACTCTGTACACTTACATGAAGAACCTGAAGGCTGACTTTGGGTTTGATGTACGATGCCATATTGAAAACAAAAGAGCTATTGATAGTTTCTCTATCTGGAATATATTTTCCGCCGAAGAGCTGCTAAACAGACGTTCACTCAGAGAATGCACAGAGTTCATCATTTACCTGTGCATGATATTTTTCCACGAACATGCATGTAAACAAAGAAAATTCTCTTTTCAGGTTGACTCCCTGGCCATTCTCCTGGATGACGTTCTTTTGGAGCCGACTGAAAGTGAGGAAGAGGCCCTCGCGGACTTGTCTCCAAAGGAGAGCATTTTAGACTACCTTGCCGGCTATGTTGCTCAAAAATTTTCTGAGATGTGCTGCACCGACTGCGTGGAGTCTTTAAAAGGCTTGCAACGATCACCAAGTGACCTCATTCTTGTGATGTCGAGAGGTTACCTTCAGGTCCCCTCCACCAAACTGTTAAACCTCCTCCAAATTGCTGAAGAGCATGTAGAAGAATTTACGGTGAAGCAAACTGCGTGTGCTGGTGTGTACATGGGCATTGTTGAGCAGGTTTTGCTGGACAATCGTACAGCTTCAGCTGCTGTCGGCTGCCCCACCCACTTTGTTGGGACGACTGCTGAAGTTCTACACCTTCTTTTTTCGGTGCCGCCTGCATTTTTTCAGACGCGAAAAAAATAAGCAGTCACGTGTGACAAAGCGAGCAACATGCGCAGCTGGTGGAGGGAGAAAGCCAAACTGAAGGAGTAGTGTAAAAGCAAAGCAGCCCTTTGCGAGCCTCCTGGACCTATATATGTATAGCTCACTTATAGGCGGATTTTTGTTTGATCAGTAAAATAGTAGCTGTGTTTCCTTACTTGTTTGCAAACTTTATAACCTTGTGGTCAGGCTCGCATGCAAAAAAACCTTTCTGGTGTCTTTGTGCTTTCACTTTTAATATTTCCACGAACTATCGCTCAGGATTCGTTTTTTGTTTTGTAACCATGCGTGGCCGCTTCCGGTTTTTTATCTGGTGTTTCAACTGAAGCGCCCGTTCGCTCTTTTTTTTTTGTACGTCGCGTCGGGCAATATTGTTGATATGGAAAGGTTGTCACCTTGTCACTAACTTGATTTCTTGTTTGCTCGAAAATATTCTCGACCCTATTTTCATGGATCGAAAATTAATGACGTCCCGAGAGCAAATCATGCATAGCAAATGCCGCGTGACTCACTTTATCGATGTCTTCTGTGCAGGCCACGCTGCGGACTGCTTCTTTGACGTTTGCGTTTCCTTCTAGTCTTTTGCAGAGCATGAGTTCGCTTTAATAAACTTCATTCAGTAGAACTTTACGTTTGTCTTTGTTGCGTGGCAATATTCTGTTTCGTCCGTGTGCTACACATCAAAGCGCAAACAATAAATTTTTGTACGCTGCACCACGCTCTTTTGTCTCCCTTCATAATATTGAAATTTATTTTTGTAGCATGTGATAAAAGTTTGCACTTCCTTTCTTGCAAGGATTGAAAAGCGGTTTCGCGGAAAGACACACAGTGCAACATACATCATTTAGTGTTTTGATCCTTTCCCTTTATGCAGCGCTTTTAAATGTTACTGTACCACCTCATCGAAAAGAGAATATTACTGGGGTATCTGGGTGCTCAGCGCATTCCAGAGCACTCAACAGATTCATTAAAAGCCTACTCTGAAGGACGCGTACCTGCTTCTTTTCAGTTTTTTTTTTTTTCGTTGCATTATTGATAGGCCCGCAGCTACGAAGCTACCGTATGTATTGTGGTTACAAAGTTTTCTTGAAGGAAACAAACAAAAGATATTTTAAAATCGGTAAACACGGCGCAGCGCTTGCGCCCAAAGACGCGAAAGCAGTTGCCATTCGTGGCCGAGGTCTGCGGCGATTTATTCGAAAAAATAAAACCCCATTGGAGGCAGGTGGTATACACAATAATTGGGCGATTCATCGCTAACAACTACGAAAAGAAAAAAAGAAACCCAGCGCGCAGAGACCAGAAGCAGCGAGCGTTTTCATGCCAAAAGCTGGCAAATATGCCGCACGCGCGGCGGCTGGATCCCCTCAGTGCGACGGTGGCGCCAGTAGTGGCGCCCGCGGACCCTATATGAAACTAGCGCCAAAGTTTCGTGACCAGTAAAGCATTGAAGGACTCTGCCGATACGTTGCCACGTGTGACCTATGCCAACGTCGTAAGACACCGTCGCTGCTACCCGCTGGCCATCTTCAACCAATTGACATACCCGCGGAACCATTTTACCGTGTTGGGTTAGACCTGCTTGGTCCTTTTCCCACATCCACATTGGGAAACAAATGGATAGCCGTTATTACAGACTACGCTACACGCTACGCTATTACGCGAGCTCTACTGACCAGCTGTGCAACCGACGTCGCTGACTTCTTGTTACGGGACATTATATTGATTCACGGTGCTCCAAGACAGCTTCTCACAGACTGTGGCCGTACATTTCTATCCCAAGTCATCGCCGACATTCTGCGTTCTTGTTCCACGCAACACACACTGACAACCGCTTACCACCCTCAAACAAACGGCCTCACGGAACGATTTAACCGCACTTTAACAAATATGCTCGCTATGTACGTGTCACCCGACCACCGAGACTGGGACCTTGCCTTACCCTACGCAACTTTCGCGTATAATTCATCCCGTCACGACACAGCGGGCTTTTCGCCGTTCTATTTATTGTACGGACGAGAGCCGACTTTACCACTGGACAGTCATCTCAGCTCACACCTCGTCCACCAGCGAGTATGCCCGCAACGCGATTGCGCGAGCCGATCATGCCCGTCAGCTCGCTCGCGCTCGGCTGATAGCGTCGCAAACCAACCAATGCCGTCGGTACGATGCGGAACATAGAGACGTACATTTCCCTCCCGGTACCCTCGTTTTACTCTGGTCCCCTCATCGTCGGCTGGGCCTATCCGAAAAACTTCTGTCTCATTACACGGGACCCTACCGTATATTGCTCTCGTAGGTAACACCTGTCACCTACGAGATCAGCCCCATCTGTCCATCACCATCTACTATGCGGCCCAGTGATATCGTACACGTCTCGCGGATCAAGCCCTACAATAATGCGTCGGATAACGACCTTTAAAGCACCGGGACGGTGCCTCCGCCACCGGGGGTCATGCTACGTGCCAGTGCATGGAGCTGAAGAAGAGAAAGCAGATAGACTGGCACGAGCTAATCTGTGTGGCTGGCGCTGCTCGCCTAACCAGCTGTAAATACATCGGTGACTACCGCTCTGAGTCAGTCTCCTTCCCGTAACAATATATCATTGTTATGAATATATGTTTATACCGAATTTTCATACATAACGAAGTATTTTTATGGCAGGTGTGACAGTCTGAGCACATCAGAATATAACATACAGTTGAACCCCCTCATAGGAGGCATAGATATAAAAGACAAATGGGCATAAGGGACAGCAGTGTGCCTAACGTAAAATAGGGGTTGAAAAGAAAATGCATACAACGTACTTGGCTTATAAGAAACACCTCATATAAAGGGGTTCAACTGTATTATCAGTTATAACGAAGTGAGGGATAGTTTTGTCATAGATACACTGTTAGGAATATATGTTTTTAATGAAGTTTTGGATATATTTTCGTGGCAGGTGTGACTGTTACAATGAGGATTGCGTGTAAGCACACTGACAATACACATACCTTGTGGATCCTGTGCAGTGACCTGAAATAATTGAGAAAAGCCTTCAAGCAGAACCAGCGCGGCACCAACCAACTTGAAGGAAGCCAACCGATCGACAACCACAGCACACTCCAACTTCTCAGCTGTGCCTGCGTGAATCATATAAATCATAGGCAATGACTGGGTGTCACAAACTAGCACTGAAAAAAGCGCATGCGTCAATTTTTATGGCTACATTAAACCATGCACCAAGCAGACACGACAGAAGCAGGCGTAAAGAAGAAACAAGCAACAAAAGACAACGCCTGCACACCTGCTCTTCCCCCTCGATACAGCCGCCGCCGCACCGACGGACGAAATACCGAGCAAACTCAAGAAACATTTCAAAGGAAAGGGACATGGTGCTGCAGAGTTGGGTCACGGTACGAGAGAAGTCCTGCCCTTTCCACAGCCTTGGCTGTGTGGTGCGCCACGGACACGCCTGGTAATTTCCAGAACCCAGCAGCTAGTGCATACATATAAGCAAGTAGCTGATACGGAGATGAAAAACGTGTTTTCCACGTGTGGGCAAAGGCTTGTCCCACAAGCAGAAAATGAATGTGTGTTTACCGCCAGAGGGCAAAGACGTGTTCTGCAGTAGCAGCACGTGAGTGGCCGACATGTTACTCGCGAATAAGTTTTTGTTGTTAAAGTGTGGTCAGTTCCCAATGCGAAACTTTCCTGGAAGAGAAACTTCAGACGCAGCGAGACGACAACCGGCGCTGGACTCTTCAAGGAGTGTTTCCTTGAAGAGAAGCATTCAAGGTTTGTTTGAAGAACTTTGGACTGAATACGTTGGAGGAATATTTTAGTCTATAAGTGTCTTTGTTAATTAATGCATGTGATTCCGTCGTAGCCTGTGTTGTCGTTTGAGCCCCCTGTTTTAAGGGTATTGGAGAACAGTCGATCCCAGATATGTCTAATTAAAAGGTGATCATAAAATAGTTCGATATATCGATAATTAGAATTATAAAATATGCACTTTTAAGGCCTAAATTAAAGAATTTCCGACCTTTGAAATCGTTACAAGTGCTTGTATAACGATTCACTCACAGAATAATGAATAACAAAGTGTGAACCGTAAGTTACCACACTTTATTCCCTATGATAAGTTCCAAAATAAGTAAATTCAGCTCCTTTGACCTCAGCAGCGTTGATTGATGCGGAACGCTGATCCAAGCTTTGTAGCGCAGTGGAATGTCGGTTAGCGGCGGTAGATGCAGTCAGAACCAGCTATGTCATCATCTGCACCGATGAAGTCACTCACTGTCGGAGATGGTGCACAAAAACACTGATAAATCGTAGAATTCACTGATGCACCGCACGTCGTTATCAGCTGCCATAACAAACCCAAAATCGGCACCTGGCCCGTAAGGAAAGTTTACGATGGTGCTTTACTTGACATCGCTATTAGCGCCAGTCATGATTTTTGTCACTACGTGCGAGTCAACGTTCAGTTTAACTCCCTAATGAGGATTTATCAGGAAAGAGGCGAGAAATACACAAGGCACAACAAAAGGCAACACCGGGTTCCATGGTGGAACGAATATTCGAGTTGTCACCGCCAATATGCAAGCCATATTGATGTCAATTATGGCTTTGTAGTTGGCAGCCGCTGCTTTCAGCTGCTTTGATGTGAAAAGCTATGAAAAGCGTAGCCTCCAAGAGATGCATTTTAAAACCCAAAACACTAAAAAACGTCACGAGGTTGCACATCTCAAAAGCTATGCTGTAAGGCTAGAATGTTCATCGCATGCTACTGTGCCCCAATGAACAAGGTAGAGAATGTGAACATATCAACGAGGTGGCAGAGTCACTTTGCATTCTTATTTTGGTGTCATTGGCAATCGGCCTTTTTGAATAACACTACGCCCGCACGTTAAAACCTGCAGATAGCGCATCAAACATACCGGTACCCTCGCAAGTGTGAAGCAAAGAATCAGGTCAGCGCTATAGAATTACACCACTTTTTAGTCACCTGCAAGCCAAAAGAGATCCGAACTTTTGAGAACGCAGCCAAAAATTTATGAACATTTGCTAGAAAAATTGCACTTTCTGGGCTTTGGCGCAGTTCAGTGTTCGATAAATTGATGTCTCGCTGTGCGAAGTTCAATATACGAAAGCACCAATACTGTACTTGCGCATGAAAAATTCTAGATTTCTAAACTGTTTGATATAGCCAAAAATTTCATATATCAAAGTTTGATATATGCGGGATCGACTGTATCTTGTGAGTGGTATTATATTGTATTTGGTAACTTTCCAGGGTGCGTGTTTGTGTGTTGATTGTTCTGCCTTATCTGAGAATATATTGTGACGTAAAACGACACAAGACGTGACTATTCGCGAATGTATTGACACTGATAAAGACAGAGCACAGTACGCAAAGCAGTCAAGCCAGTGCACTTCGTCATCTTCTGTACGTAGAATGGTTCGCCCTTCATGCGCTAGCTATGTAGCGTTACCCTCCAGCTGTAAAAGCGCTGTCTCAGTGCACTTTATAAGTAATCTTCAGAAGAAGGGCAGCATTGTTTCAACCTACTGATGTTGACTACATGACAGGAAGTTTTGCAGACAAGTTTGTCTCGAAGACTGAAATGACCTTGTCATGAGTAAAGGAGAGGCCCCAGACGCGTGTCAAACGCGGAAGCGCGGCGGCGGTGCCCGGGGAGAGAAGAGTAACCGGAGTGCACGCGCACCAGCCCTGTAGACTCAAGAGATTGGTCGGAGAAAGGCTTGTGGCACGCGACGCGGGCCGGGAGGAAAAATTCCATAAGATGAGCTGGCACTGTGTGTTGCGACGCCGAGCAGCAAAGACATGGGAAACAAGCATCGCTACCGTGATGGGAGCAGCATGACTGCCCGTTTCTGAGGATGTCGACATGACAGGCCCGGGAAGTGGCTGTCGGCCCTGGAGGTTCCAAGAGAGGCAGCCCGAACTTGCCGCATCCTGCCCAGAAGTTCCTGGTCGACTTGCAGCACTCCCACTTCACAGTAGGACGGCGACAGCCCACACCAGTCAGCAGAGAGGACTTGCCATCAAGAGAGTCCTTAGCAAAGCTAAGCCTAGCCAGAGTCCTTCAATTTTACTGGTCACGAAACTGCTCCGTAACTCAATGGGAGAGCTTCATATGATGCGTTGGGTTGCCGCGCGGTGGCGCCACCATCTCACTGAGGGGATTCGTCGGGCTGGTCGGGCGACGTTGCGCTGGCTCGAACGACGCTGCGAGTTGTTTGCTTTGTGTGGGAAACGTGCATATCGTGCTGTTGTGATGCGGCGTTAGTGCAGTGACGATGCCGAACACGTGTTGTGTCCCGGGATGTCGTTCCGGGTACAAGGGCAGAACAGAAAAAGTTTCCTTGTTCTGTTTACCCAGCGACGGCGTGCTGCGCGAGAAATGGAAGCGCTTAATTCCAAGGCAAGAAACGGGTGACTTTTGCTTCGACTAAGTATGTGAGAGTGTGCGAGAAGCATTTCGATGACAGTGACATCGTCCGCGTAGATGAATTTGTGGTGAATGGCGAAAAAGTGTCACTTCCGCGCGACAAGCCCCTTCTGAAGCCTTGTGCCATTCCAAGGAAGTTTGACGGCTTGCCAGCGTATTTGACGAAGCCGAAGCAGCAGTCACGGACCCTGACAAGAAGGTCCCCAGCGAAGCGACGTCGTGAGTCGTCCTCATGTGCCCGTAAAACAGAAGTTCACGCCAAACCAGGCACATCGGGTGCCGCGTCGTGTGATGAAGGCGAGTTTATGTCCAATGTTGTTTTAACTTTCTTGCCCGTGCAGTGATTATATCGGTGAAATTTCGAAGGAGTGTGTGAGCTGAAAATGCGCTATTTGAAACGATTTTTGAAATTGTTTTGCAGATCTTGCGCTGCCCACAGATCTTGTCAGCGACGGGCCAACGCGCACTTCGGACTCGGCGTGCCAGACAGATGAATTTACCAGCCCTCTCGCCGAGGTTAAACTGCTGAAGTGCCAACTTCGGGCAACGAAACAACAGCTGACCTTGTGTCAGACGAAATTGGCCAAAATGAGAGTGCAAGCGAGCAAGCACAAAAAACTTGAAGAAAGCTTTCAAAAAATGTCCACCTGCACGAAGTTGATTTTTGATCAGTGCGTGATGAAGGCGAATGCCAAGTCTGCGAAAGCTGCCAGGTAAGTTTAGAAAACAGGCCAGCGCGTGTAGGATGTTTGGGAGCAGTGTTGGTGTATTTCGGTGTCAAATTCGGTTCTTTAGATTACCCCACCATGCTTCTTCGCTGAAAATACACTTTAATGTTAACATTCCTCGGGCATGTTGAGAATATTGATTCAACAGGCCATATGCGTGTCACCACATCGATTTCGTTTCAGCACCCCATATTTTTTATTACCTACTCCAGCAGTTTCAAATAAAACTTGTGTTTGCTTTCCACAGCATTCCTTTTATCCTCAACGTGCCAACAGTCTCACTTTGCAGTGTCTGTTGCTTATTGAGAATGAATAAAATTACAGACGGATGAAGTTTTATACATTTTCGTATTGCCCATACTACAAGGTTGGAGAATGCGCTGCATATGTTTGCAACGTGTCAAATGCTATGGTTGTATAACATACGATATGCCAGAGAAACGCCAGATCGCATGTATTTATCCTGAACATGGTTCCTGTGTGCCTACTGTTCATTGGGCTTTCAGCACATGCAGCTCGAAAGCAGCATACAGCATGTCATGGAATGGGGTATTCTTGAAGCACCTACGCATGAACCTGGTATAATGTGCTTGTATCCTTTTAGCAGTTTCGCTACTGTAAATGCATGTGAAATCCATTATAAAACAACTTTACTATTTAATGCATGTGTTTCAGTATGATGAGCCCCCTCTCCTATTTTTGGTGTCTGGTGCACACACATTATGCATGCATATAAAGCATCTTGTCTGTGTCATGTACATGCATATAATTCCAAATGCACTGCACGAATGTTTTTTATCCTGAAGGCCCACTATGTAGCATGTTTCGAAATGTGAGAACAGTTCCCTACTTTTCTCTTTAGGTACAGGAAATAATGGCTTCATGGCTGTCTCCTTCTGAAGGTTAAGTCGACGTCTGTGTACACGTTCCTTCATG